TCGTAGTCATCATCGTCTTCAAATAAATCCATATGATCCATATTTAAATTAACAGAAAAAACCACTATTGCACTGTAGTTTAATTCGTAAAATCGAAAAACAAAAGTACAAACTGACTTTTTGTAATATAATTAACGCAGTATCCACACTCCACACTCCACAGCGTGTCAGCGTATAATTATTAAAATCTGATAAACATTAGATATAATGTTTATCAGCTGTAAGTTATCCGCCGAATAACAATTAATTGTTACAAAAAGTAGCAGATAACTTATCCGTAACTATATTTGACAGATAAGCTTATTCGGACATTGAAAAACTGATTATTATCTATTTGTTCTTATCTGTCGAATAACTAGAGTTATTCGACAAATAAATTCAATTGAAAAACCGGGCCTAAAACATACAAATCATTTTTAATATTGTCATTATAAGACATAGATAGTGTGTTGGATGATACATTATCTTCACAACTAAATATACAAATCATTTTTAATATTGTCATTATAAGACATAGATAGTGTGTTGGATGATACATTATCTTCACAACTAAATATACAAATCATTTTTAATATTGTCATTATAAGACATAGATAGTGTGTTGGACGACGCTGCGACCGTGGGGCAGGTTTTTCAATCACCCAACTATTCGTTAAATAACTATTCGTGGAATAAACCTATTCAGCAAATAAACTTCCAAATAAAACAAAAAATTATGACAACTGTTTTTCAATATAAATTTATTATCCGAATAGTTATTCGGAGAATAAAACTAATCAGTAGATGATAATGATAATATGTATGTATAAGGAGTTGTGCATTGTGGAACAAGTTGAAGAGTTCTGATCCATTCTAATTGGTTGAAATATCTCATCAGTGATAAGACAATATTATCAAAGAAAAATCTGTAATTAATATCTGGTATATTATTATTATAAACAATAAACTATTATATTGCTATTCTAAATTTCTAAAATTCTGTATTATTCTGTTATTCACCGATCATCATTATGTCATCAAATAAAAGGAATAGGGCAAATAACTTTTCCTTTGAGGAAAAAGAACTGTTATTAAAATATGCAATTGAAAATAAATCTGTACTGGAAAATAAAGTGTCCAACTCTGTGTCCTGGAAGGACAAAAACAAGTGCTGGTTAAAAATTAGTGAAGCATACAATTCAACCACATCAGGCTGTGTAAGTTCTAAATACAAATTTAATAATCTTCAATAAATATGAATTAGATATACATTTTTTGTATAAATAACAGCCCAGAGATGCTGCAAGCTTGAGATTAAAATATGAAGGATTAAAAAGATTATTGAGAGGAAGTAAAAGTAATTTATTTAAGACTGGAGGTGGCCCTCATGAATATGATTATACTTGCTCAAGTGAATTAGAAAAACAATTATACAACATAATACAATTGTCGGTTGAAGGGTTGCCTTCAAAATTCGATAGTGATGCTGGTCAGTCACTTTTTATTGCCAAAATATTTTTATATATTCAGTTCCACATTATTTGAAATTGCTTATTACTTATTAGGTAATAAGGGAAAAATATCAATTAATTTACAACACTCCCAAAACATATTATAAAAGATTGCCCTTATAATATACTAATATTTTATTACCTGGATTTTGTATTTTTACATGGGTACAATCAATAGCACCAATAACTCTAGGAAATTTAGCGATATCATAAAAACGGTTCTGTAATGTATTTATTTCTAATTCTGTGTCTGGCATTTTTATGAACCGTGGCAGCAGTCTTGCTAATGCAACACTGACATCACGAACAATTAATGATGATGTAGTTTTGCTTACTCCCAAAAAATCTCCAGCAGTTATTAGAAAATTCCCAGTAGCATAAAATCGTAAAGTTAAAAGCAGTTTGTTTATGGATGTTACGGCATGATTTCTAAAATAATTTTAACATTTACAAATTACAGAATACAAAATTTGATATACCAATTATTTTATTATTGTATAGATAATCACCTATATGATTGTGAAGATATTTGCTCATTTATATATCCTAAAACTTCAATAACTACTTCTTTGGAGATTCTAAATCTAACTTTAAAGTCTTGATCATCCCAAAACTCCATATGGTTAATTCGTACACGAATTGTGTACGTACGTCGTTGATAATGTAAAAACTCGACAATTTCAACATCGTCATCTTCGATAATGTCTAATACCGGCAATACCAATAATTCCATCATAGTAATTAGGTATCAAGAATTTTAACGAACACGGGACAAAAGAAAAGACACAACGAATTTAAATAATATTATTGAATACTATTATCATTGATTGTAAATTTGTAAATTGTAATTGCTGATATCAATTTTTGGTAGTTATTAGTCAAATAAGTTCTTATTCGGTAGAAAAAGTACCAAATAATTTATTTGTGATTTATTCTCTAAATAAGACTTATTTCAATATTGAAAAACCGGAAAATAACATATTTTTGTTATTCGGCAAATAACTTGAGTTATTCGACGAATAAATCAGAT